CTATTTCATGTAGTTTTTATCTGCTGGAGGGTCGCGTAGGGGAGCGTAGCGCGACAAAAATAGAAGAGCCGCGTAAAATAGAGAGTTGTCGCGCGACAGACGGGGGTTGTCGTGCTCTAGTGTGCTCACCTGTGTGTGTGCGTTTTGTCTGTGTGTGTGTGTGTGTGTGTGTGTGGGTGTGTGCGCATCGGGGTGAAACTCCGCCGTGCACGATACAGAGAGCAGAGGAGAATTGTAAACGGCGGTGCACTGCTGCTAGTTGCATATTGGGGAAACACTGCTCTTTTTGGTATGAGTTCTTCTGGGTCATCGTGTACAGTTGCTTTGCTTTCAGGACTCTCTCCAGCAGCCATTCTCGCCTCTAAACTTTTCTATGCTCTCACTCTCACCCGCTCAAGCGTGCCTGTGGTGTGCAGCGGTGAAATGGGTCCCCGCTGAAACACTTTTCCGCCGCGCACGTTCCGGATGTTGTTTGGGCTATTCACCGGTATTGCGGTATATGAAAAATTCATATCATTGGGAAAATTAATACCGGTTTTCTGTACAAATCTGTATACCGCCCAGCCTTAGTCGTCATTTAAAAAGGGAAACAGAAAGCATGACAGGACGGCCTCAAGATGCTAGTTTGATAGTTAACACATTAACAACACAACCCAGTGTTCAAAGAACAAAGGATATTCACCATGCCTGTGGACAACAACATAAACAATTCCAAACCGCTTATGCAAAAGAGCTTAACGGCTAAAAAACAATGTTACCTAATATAACAACTTCGACTTTAGCCATTTCTTTGCTTTACGCTAAACTGCCAATTAGACTTTCTGTCACTGTCGGTGTCCGAAGACTCCACTGCTGTTTCAACATGCTGAATTGCTGCTGCAGGACACATCACAAAAACTCGGGAGATTGACCCAACCATGGTGTGTCAGGGCCATCATGTGTTAATTAGTGAGTTTGTAAGCAGATTTTTGTACCTTTGGAAAGAATCAGGCCAGCTTTTTCCCCGTCTCCAGTATTTATGCAAAGCTAAGCTAATCGCCTTCTGGCTCTAGCTCACTACTTAACTTGCAAACATGAGATTGTTATTGATCTTCTCATTTAACTCTCAGCAAGAAAGTGCATAAATGTATTTCCTAAAATGTATAACTTCTATACATATAATATTTTTAAGACAGACCATCCCAACTGTTTTTTTGTTTGTTGCTATAAACACTTTTGACAGTGTAGATGATTTTTTTTTCACAAATGGAAAGCTATATAATATTGGAACTGAACTCTTCACCGCACCCAGCACCGTAGAGTGGGGTCATACCGCACAGGTAGCCCTGGTCTTGGGCTTGGCCACTGGGTTCCTCTGAGTCAGGGAGCCCCTGTAGAGGGAGTTCCTCACAAACCTGTCCACCTGGCCTGCAAACATACAGCAACTACATTGGACATCTACTGGCTCTCTTTTTTAAACTTAATACAGTTATAAAGTCAGATTCCAGTTTCCTTTGTAATTTTCTTATGAACCTAAAATTGTAAAATTACAATTAATTTGACCAACAATAACATTATTGGAAAAGTATCACTAGGAAAGTGAATAAGAAGCATTCAGTCTTTTCAGAAAAACTGCTGGTCAGGAGTCAGTGAGCAAAGATCAGAAATAGCATTGAAATTGCCCCCCCTAGGCAATCACATAATGTAAGGTAAACAAATTATACCTCCAAATGTTACACCATTCATACTACAATATCCCCGTGGGAATTCTGCATGTTGAGAATTTGATTATCTGACATACATCTGGGAGAATTAAAACTGCAGTACAATAGGACTCAGTGTTCACCAGCTCACAAAATAGATCATCATGTTCTGTGAGTTTAATAAGGTTAAGATGTTCTGAGTTGGGCGGAAGGCTCTGGGGATCATGCTCAAGGGCAGCAGGGTCGGTTCTTACTTGTGGGAAAGTTGTGGGAAAGTCTTCTTGCTTGGATTGGGATCGCAGACTAGAAGACACCAAAGCAGGAAACAAACAAAGAAGGAAAAAAGTAAGAATGTGAGAAATATATGGCCTATCAGCCTTTTTGGCACCTTAGAAGGAACAAATATTTATCAGAGACAGACCTGCTTAAGAGATAGAAATCATCTTATTGGTTGATCTGAATCTGAGAGGGCAGAGCCACAGGACTCAGAGTCAAATCCAAGACCACCATGTCAAATCATTCGGCTTGTTTGAGATCTGTGCAGTTCTGATCACTGTTTTGTTGAGTACATTACATAATGGTTAGTGATTTTGTCTGACTTGCTCTGGAGGCTCAACTGTGTGAGACATCGGAATCTTGCAGGACGATGCACACAATTTTGCAAGCACGGCGAGAGTGAGATGCTTGATGGAAAACGACTTGCCAATAGATGGAACTAAGTGCTCTTGTTGAGTGTTTACCCCATGCTATTGATATGTTATGTTACCATTTACAATTAAAGGACAACAATGATCATTTTTTCATTAATATTCCACAAGAACATCAGCGCCAACAAATGTATTTTATGAGTACACTGTAAGCAATTGCTGTTAAATTGCTTCTTTTAGAAAAATACATGGAAATGATTTGCCATCAACTCCTGAAGGGAATTCATGAACTATCATTTGGAAAGCAGTTTTTCCAGAGGAGGACACACAATTTGGAGGACATGTGCTACACATCAACAAGTCCTACTTCATCAACATCAATCGGGTCTGTATCTACAAAGTAGACGATAATTAAAGTCTTATTTTCTTTGCCAGCATCTTGTTCATATTGCCAAGAATGTTTGATATCATGCACAACACGCTGTCTAGCTAGTTTTAACATGATAGTTACCAGTAAGATGGAGATTTGAACAGCTCAGTTAGGCTATATTTATGGGCATTTTTTGTTGATTTATTTTGGTTACGTTAAAATAATGGTTTGCATGTGAGGAACGATATTCTCATTAATATATAATGATATATTACTATTGGATTTTTTTTTACTTCCTAATACTGACATCAGCCTAAAAAAATCAAGTATCAATGAGGTTCTAATCTCAGGTTTGGTCATGTTTGGTAAGGGTTGGGGGAAGTCTCTGACTTTGCTCCTCAAAATCTCACGGGCTCATTTCTCTAGGTTGTCCAACAGGACGGCAGTGGTATTCATGTTTAAATAAATGCATATAATTTTGATCTCTTCTAAGTCTTTATTGTTTGTTACGCATAGTATTCATAGAAATGCATAGTTTAAGCAGATGTCTGTAGCCCACAGAATCATTAAGTTCTAATGTTAACTGTGTTGAAGACTGATAGTTTAGATACTCTTTAAACTGCCAAATTATCTGTCTACAGTATACTGTTAGGATGTAAAGCAACACCCTAAACTGAATGTCACTGTAAATCCAAATAATCACAGAAATATGCTGCATTTATTTTTATGGTAATAGACTGTGAAAACGTTAAACAGTATGGATACAGTAAAATTATGGTATATTGCTGGCTTCTGTTCTGCCAGCTCGTTACTGTTATTTTAGTTAAAAATATTTACAGTGTAAATTTCTGACATTAAAGGAATACTTCACCTGCAAAATGACTATTTGTATGAAAATTACTCACTGTGTGTTACCTTGAATTCATGATGAAAATTTTGTTTTTCTTGCATGCCTCCATGGCGAATGAAGAACCCCAAAAAGGTGAACAGTCTTCATGAACTGAGGTAAATGGGGTCCGCATTTAACAGCAGCAAAACTATAAATAAACACATGCATTTTCACTAAAATCTTAAGGACACAATTTACTTCACTTCACAAAAATGTTTTGTGTTGGGTTTTCTGTTCCGTTAATTTTGACAGCTATTTTAGATTTAGTTTAAGTCTTAGTCTTGAGACAAAAATGCTCATTAGTTTTAGTCACATTTTAGTCATTTTTATCCTTCATTGTTTGAGTTCAGTTTTAGTTGACAAAAATTCAAAACATTGTAGTCGACAAAAATTCATGACATTTTAGTCAACTTTTAGTTGTTTTGTTTTTTTTAATCCTTAAACTAATCCAGTTAGGCTAACTCATGTATCAGAAATTACAATCAAGGTGACAGGTTGTATAAAAATTTCATTAAGATACTTTTTTTCTACAACTACAAATAATTTTTGCACACTTACAAACTGTCATTTCTCCAGCAGTGTTTGACAGGTTTAAGGGGTGGTTTACGAGCACACACTTACTGATCATCATTTGAAAAGCTCAACATGTCTCTATCTATGGTCTCAAAAACTTTGAAACCACAAATAACTAATCTAAGACAACTAGGATTTGTATCCAGGTTCATTGTAAACTCTTTGATCTCACTGTTAAGAGGCAGAGAAATAACTTTATTAAAGCCTGAATTCTTTCTTGATCTGCAACATGTTAGTCTGGAGGTGTAATCTCATGTCTCACAGAGTTGGTGATTAACACTAAACCTTTAACCTTTAACTCTGTCAAAGAAAACTGAGTTCAGACTGTTTACTTACAGCATAGCTACACTTAGAGATAACTGAGCCTCCTTCCTGCCTGTCAACCAGCATCAAACCATAAACCTTCCCGAGACAGTCTGGGATTGGGTTCAGTCTTGCAAGGATCAACAGATGTGAAGCCCGGTGGTCAGTAGCTGCTTGCTCTGCGGCCGTTTAGCAGCTAACAAGTGCAGCTGCTAACACCACTGCTGCAACTAACAAACTCACCAAATTCATTCAGCAGCTCCACCATCCACAGTCAGACACACACAGCTGATTATTTACTGCAGCTCACAACTCGCACCAACGGCTGCTGCAGTGTGAGTGTTTTTGACTGCTACTGAAACATGTTGGCACAAAGTATTTACTTGAGTTTAACAGCCTGTTGCTCATGCGGCATTTGAAGATAATTACAAGCATGGCCGCTCTCGACTTTCACTGTCCAATAGTTCACCACTACCACTTTTTTGTCACATCTTGTCTCATCAATGACAATGAAACATAGATCTCGTCTTAGTTTTTATTATCAAGATCTGTTTTTAGCTCATCATCATCTTGTCTTCGTCATGGAAAAATGATTGTTGACAAAAAGATTTTGTCATAGTTTTCATCAACAAAATTAACACTGCCGTTCACCATGGAGGGATTCGACAAAAACCAAGTTCTCCTCACAAACTCAAGTGTTGAGTAATTGATATAAAATTGGTCATTTTGCAGGTGAAGTTTTTTAAAAAAAAATAATTAAACTCATTTGTGCATCCTCAATAAATGCAAAACTGGTCAAAACCGCTGACTGAAATTGTTTTGAAAAGTAACAAGCAGTTATGCCTTTTACATGTAGTTCATCCCTCCTTTATTGATTTGTTTTAAAATAAAGAGACACTAATTTGTCGTGTTTTGATGTCAGTGCTGCTGCTGTTTGTTTTCCTTATTTTTATTTAAATATTCTCTGACTTATTAGGAAAAAAATAACATATCACATAACACATATGTTTGAATTTATACCAAAGTACTGATAATCACAGTCACAGTCGGTGTTCAACATGTCTATCTCCATTCAATTATAGAGGGATTTCTATTGCATCAACTTTTTCAGCAATAAAGAACGTTTAAATGCTACATTTGCAACTGGAAATCGAGTCAAGACAACTCTGAGCTGTTGGACTTCAGGCACACTTTTGGATATTTCCCTCAATTGTATTCCGCTACGCTCACCCACTTTTCAAGACAAGCCACAATTTATCTCACAGTAATCCAGTAGGATTAAATCTGCCGCTCTGTGTCCAAAAAGAAATCCAGTATGCACTTGTTTGATTTAATACAAAGTGAAAAGTATTTTATGCATGCAAACATTCTCATATAATGATTTTAACCAGCTCTGACTCTGAAACGCTGGCTACAACTCAAATAAAATAAACGTCTTTACCCTTCTTTTATCCACTGGCATGCCGGCAGCATTCAGGGCAGCAATCCTGTTCTCTATGTAAGAGACCTTGGGGTAAAAAGAGAAATGTTGACTGTGCAACCTTTTGGCTCTTTAAAACAAATTTAATATGCCAGCTAAGCTTAACTCAGCTTTTGTTTTTTTTTCTTACCTCACTCTGGGCGTTCTGGACGTTGGCAGCTGCCTGGGCTACCTGGTCCTCCAGCTCAACCAGTAAGGCTGTTGAGCCTTTAAAGCTTGCCTTTGATCCCTCCTCTAGAGGGTGCAACTTCCTTTCCAGGCTCTCTGTTGACTGGTTTGTTTACAACACAAATGTCGAGAAATGAAACAAACAAACAAACAAACAAGCAAAAAGTGAGTTTGTTTTTCACATAAAAAATTGATATGGCACTTTTTGTTGGGGAGATGGAGCTTTGTATGCCGTTATTAAAGAATAGACAGTAGAAAGTTGATAGGAAATCAAGGGGAGAAGGAGTTGAGGAACGACATGCAACAATGTTTCTCTGAGGACTCCACAGATGGGTATGTTCAGGGTCAGTGCTTTAAACACTAGGCCACCAGTGAAGTGCGTCAAGTCTCAAGTTATGAATACCAAGTCAAAGTCAAGCCGAATCTTTCATCAGTGTTAGTCAAGCAAGTCTCAAGTTTGCGACTCAAGTTGGACTAGAGTCAAGTCATGTGACTCGAGTCCCCCACCTCGGCTTATTAGCCACTTAGCACAATCATTACTATATTAATTAAGGTTCATTAGTACGGTTTGTATTTCTCTGTAATGTAGCGCAGTAGGGCATTAACAGAAAAGTCGATTTGTCGACGTGTCAACGTCAGTGGCACAAGTCGACACCCCCCGGGAGGAGTCTACAAGTCGTGTGTTTTCGCTCTCTCTGTGCGCTTGTGTACGGAATGCAATTGCTGCCTCTGATTGGCTTACGCTGATACTTTATCCTTGACTACTCGGGCGTACTATAAGCGGAGCGGACTCTGCGAGGAATGTCCGCAGTCATTCAGGCTTTCATAGTCGAGCGCACTGCCGCGTTGTAGTTTCCTGTAAAAATGTCCATGAAAAATCCCCGCGATGTGAAAAATACATGCCGAGCAGTCACTGGTGTGCGGAGCGGAGTCCGCGCGGTCAAAATCTGAGCTTTGCGCGCACAGGGCTTGTGGACATCCGCTTTGAGTCCGCGTGGACCTCCGCAGAGTCCGTTCCACGTATGTTCCGCCCGAGTATGTTCGGGCCTTGACAGACACACATCACATGTGTGGAGATACTTCACTTTCCTCCGCCGTGTCAATGTGATGACGTCATCAAATGACTTGTCGTCTCGACTTCGACTTTATTGACAGATAAGTCGACCTATCTTACCCTGCCCAAAATATATAATTTAATAATTAATTTAATATTGTGAACATGGGGGCTAATGGCCCTAAATGATGACTATTGGTCGACTAGGAAAATTCTTAGTCAGGGCAGCCCTAGAAAAAAGTTAAAAAAAAAAAAAAAAAGTTGATAAGTAACAAGAAATGTAAGCGCAAAAACATTGAAGGTATGTCTGAAGTCATTTACTGTCACTGTTACATAGTATTTATGATAGAGAAAGTGTATTGTTCAATTCTAAAAGGTCCTGATGGTTTTAGTTGCCTAAACTTCCCAAACCTCAACTACAGAGATGGTGGATTAGAAAAACCCTTGTGGTATTCTTTCTTTGTTCTTTTCTTTCTTTCCTCTCTCTTCATTTTAAACAGTTTGTGCCAACTACTAATGTGGTCCTGACCATACACTGTATATAAAAATGGACAACGTGTCTCCACTAACCCCTGCTGTACAGAAGCTAAAACATACTGGATAAGTTTGCTGCCATCTTGCCCTGGTGACCCTCATTCAGTGCCAGAGTCTATGCAGTAGCAATCTCTGCAGTGTCTAGTTTCCCACCCAAACACAGTGCCACTGAATGCAAGCCACCGACTGGCTAATACAGCTGTCAATCATGTTGTAAAATCTCTGTTTTATAGCATCAAATAACTAATTAAAACCAAACTCAACAGAAAAACGAACACTTGAACATACAGCAGGATGATAAAAAGTGACAGAAGTGACAGAAACCATCTTTGGGAAAAATCTGACATGTACTTTTGAGTTTTTAGTTTGGCCCATGTCCCCTCCACTAACAAGGAGAGCAGGCTTAATGATCTATATTGCAGCCAGCCACCAGGGGGCGATCAAGATGTTTCGGCCTGGGGTGTCGGTGGCTTAGTGGTAGAGCAGGTGACCCGTGTACAAGGCTGTTGCCGCAGCGGCCCGGGTTTGAGTCCAGCCTGTGGCCCTTTGATGCATGTCATCCCCTCTCTCTCTCCCCCTTTCACACTTAACTGTCCTGTCCATTAAAGGCAAAAAAATATCTAAAAAAAAAAAAAAAAAAGATGTTTCGGCCTCACTTTTGGGGAGCTGTCATGTTGTCCATGTTTATATGCAATCTATAGTCCTGACAATAGGGGTGTCAGATCAGGCCCCCAGTAACGCAGCTCAGCCTTACTTCAAATTTTTCCAGTGGCCACGTGCAGTATTGCAGCGAAACAATCCCTGCAACCCAGAAAGGCATTATGGACTACCATTATAAAAGAGACGTCTGTAAAACTGTTAACAGGACACTTCAAACTGCAAAGAAGGTTGATTATGATTTTTTCTATTATTAATTTTTGGTCCATGGAGGTTTTATGTTTGTAAAACTTTCCACAAGAAAAAAAAATAAATAAATAAAAAATGTGTGATGTCATCACAATGTAAAGTCTTTCAGCTGAGCGGGAAATTGTGGGTGAGAAAAACACTAATGCACATTTTCAGTGGGCTGCATACTGTGACATTAAATCCTGAAACTAGATTTTTTTTTTTGGTGTCTGCACTAGGCAAGCAGTTCCATTGTACTGAATAGGTGCCATCTTGACATTCTGAATCTAGCTATTATTATAGATCTATGTGTCAGATGTGAAAATGCTCTATGGCTTGTTTTGGAAGGTGATGACAAACAACTTATTTTATTGTTTAGGTTGGAAGACTTGTTATGGGGCAGTTCTTTGATGAAAAGTCCAAAGCAAACCTTATGGAGAGATTGAATTTCCAAATCAGCCATATCATTCAAACCAGTGGTTCCCAACTGGTGGGTTGCAGTCCAAAACTGGGTCAGGGGTTCATTCTGTATGGACCACAAGTGACTCGGGATCGTGTCAAGTTTGTAAAAGACACACCTTTTTTTTTAAAGTACAGTGAATTTCTGGCACAGAGCTTTTATTTCAAAGTGCTGTTTCCTGCTGTAGAGTGAGTGACTAACGGTCAGCTACTTGACAGAGACGGTAAACTAGCTCAAGGACATGACCAAACGCAGGTGTGATTCTGAATAAATTAAACTGCGTGGACCTTGAACTATTGACTAATGAGAAATCTGGACCGCGCAGCTGAACCAGTTGGGAACCACTGATTTAAACACCATTAACCTCAGCAGCAGGACTTGAATTATTACAATGGAACAAAGTCTTTGTATTTATTGTATGAACCACAAGAGTCACTCTTCCATAAACAGCAAGACCTGTAGTGGCAAGTAGTCATTCATAGTTCACCATAGTCAGTGAAGCACAAAAAAGCTATCTGGCTTGATAATAAGCAGAACAGAAAGCAAGGGCTGCTGGGAGATCAGAGGTCATGCTGGAAGCAAGACTGTCACACTGCAAAAGAAAACATCGGCTTCACAAGTTTGGCCCTCAACAGGTTAGCTTCAGAGCAGTGGGATTTGCTTGTACATGCTAGTGTTATGTGAAACTTTAAATCCTTAAGAGAGGGCATACAGTTTGAACAGGCCTACAGTTCTGTAAAAAACACAATACCATTACTCACCTGAGTACTGTAGCTTTGTTATTTCAAGGGAGAGAAATACCAGTGAAAACAGTTCAGGCAGCTTAGCACATCAGCTAGGAATTATTTTTCAAGTCCATTCTGTGTTTTAGAAAATCTGGGAGTGATGGTTGCACAGGAAAAATAAATGCTAAGGCTGAGTGACTTGATTTATGACTACAGTATGTGCTTGCAGTGGATTCCAGCAGAGGTGGTATGGAATTTCTTGTACCAGGCTTTTTTTTTTTAAAGAACAGAATGTGTAATGATCCAGATGTGCAGTACAGTACAGTATGAATATTTCTGATGAACTTTCTGGCATTAAATGCTTGTGTATGAATTTTACTTTCCTCTGCTCATGTTCTGCTCATTTAATTCTACCATAAATATCTCTACCTTCTGAGAGTCAGTCAGCCGAGGTTGCTCCTCCTCAAGTCTGCAGAGAACAATGCTTGTTCTGGATGAGGGCCTGGTAGGTATTTTGGTGGGCTTTGCATCTCCCTGTGGGCCTCTCCATGCTGGGATTTCTTGGGAGGAGTGTGGTCTGCTGGGCTCGTCCTCATCAGAGGTTAGGCCATGGTCACTGATGTTGTCTGTCATTTCGTGCAGCTTCTGTCTCAGTTGCTGCTCTTCTAAGTCCACTTCCTCCCACTGAGGAAGAGGAGAGGTGCTGTTTGGAGTCAGAGGAGCCTGACTGGTCTGTAAGAGCAAAACCGAGAATATGTGGCTGAGAAAAATCATCTATGCCTTCAGTGAACATTTTTATTTTGTGTCTTTATTTCATTTAAAACGCACTGGTTGAGTGACAGCTGTTGGCACATGCCTTAATGGTTTAGCTCTTCAAATAACGTGGTAATGTTTGGGATGGGTGTCCATATGGGACAGGCCTTTAATTCCTTTCACACAAAACTGTTGCTCAGCAAAGATGGGAAATACATTCATCCATCTATCCATGATGGATGGATTGATTAATCTGGGTCGCAGGGCCAGCTGGCCAAGCAAAGCAGTACCCCAGATGTCCCTCTCCCCAGCAACACTTTCCAGCTCCTCTTGGGGGGGACCCAAGGTGCTCCCAGGCCAGATGAGATATGTAATCCCTCCAGCGTGTTCTGGGTATGCCCTAGTGCCTCCTACCAGTAGGATGTGCCCGGTACACCTACAACAGGAAGCACCCAGGAGGCATCCTGATCAGATGCCCGAACCACCTCAACTGACCCCTTTTGACGCGAAGGAGCTCTACTCCAAGCTCCCTCTGGATGTCAGAGCTCCTTACTCTATGTCTAAGGCTGAGCCAAGCCACTCCACGGAGAAAACTCATTTTGGCAGTTTACCCTTACCCTTACCTTTTTTAACCACCTCAAAAGAAAGCATCTGAAAGAGTATGCTGACAGTCATACAGTGAGGGGATCCCAGGTTAGTGCATCAGCAGCAGCTGTTGTTCCATTTATTTTATTTTATTTTTTTCTACTTTGTGATGTTTATCCTTTAACCTTTAACCTTCTCCGTTAAATAAAGGTTAAATTAAAAAAAATAAATGTTTATTAGAATGTTACATAAATCTACCTTAGAAAACAGCATGCTGAGGATTTGACTGTTTAAAAATATCAAAACAAAATGTTTATTTTGGGAGTTATGCAAAATTCCCTCAATGTACTTGAATAGAAGTCTTAACCATGTCAAAACTCCAGTGGAATGTTCATACTTTTGGAAACGCACACTTGATTAAAATCTATGTGAAAAGGTACCACTAGTTTTTAAATGAGGAAATTAGTTTGGTTGTATTGTTCAGTATCTTACAAAATAGTATGAAAAACCAACATGAAAAAGAACTGCGATACAATTGTGGATTGTGATTCTGCCTGCAAAATATCGTGATATGATACTTTCGCCTTATTGTAAACCCCTGTTGCAAACAATGGCTAACTTTGCTCGAACTTATTTTGCTAACACCATCTTGGTTTTCCAACTTTTACTTGTATGCGGTCAACTTAGTTGTGACGTGATTTCCAGCTCCAACCTCTGACTTCAGAGGTAAATGGAATGCAGCATTAGCAAATGATTAACTGACTGTATGTAACCAACTGTGATTAGGCTAATCGTTGACTGTCCAGCTGTGTTGCCCTACTTTCTGCACAATTCATATTGGCCAAGGGCCCTCCCTCCACTACTGACAGGCCTGTGAATTTAAACAGGAAGTAGCTGGTCTAGGTGATGAATAGATGCATCGTACAGTACATTGATGCATGAAAACACCAATGCTCTCCAGTTACTATACAAATCAGATGGACATTAACACAGACGTGGCGTGTGCAGACTCTGCTATGACAAAACCGGCGGAACATGTTCAATATGCAGATTGACTTAAGATGTTCCTTGCCACAAGAGAGAGAGAAAAGGCCTGAGTCTATCAAATATTGCTCTCGTTTGATGCAGAATAGCCACTAATTACGAGGCGAGCTTCAGTTGTGTGTTCGTTTACGGTTTGCTGTTTTTGTGGTTTGGCTCATTCTCTGATGACATTGGTGTGGATTTCAGAGCCCACATCCCAATTAAAAACAGTCACCAAACCCACATGAGACAACACTGTTTATGAGAGAGGGATGAATATGAGTAACTGTGTGCTCCTCTTCATTATCAGAAACAATGAGCTGCAAATACACTACATCATTATTACCACTGCCAAGGTTTGTTAGTTTGTCAGCAGGATTATGCAAAAACCACAGGCTCAGTTTTCATGAAATTTCTTGGAAGGGTGAAGCATGGGTCAAAGAAGAGCCCATTAAATTTTGAAGCTGATCAGAAACATGGGGCCGATACACAAATTGTTTTTAACTTTTGGTAACATTGCAAGAGAAGACATTTGGCCTTGATGGAGGTCTGTGCTCTCTGAGTTGCCTTCTAGTCTTTTCTGTGCCAGCTCAGGAAGTTCAACCTGCCTCAGGAGCTGCTGACAATTCTACACTGCAATAATCCAGTCTGTTCTCTGCACAGCCATTACTGTGTGGTTTGGATTAACCACAAAACAGGACAGGAACAGACTACAACAGTAAGAACTGTGGAAAGAATCACTGGTGCCAGCCTGCCCACCATTCAGAACTTGTACTCCTCCATAGTAAGAGAACTAGCACGTACCATCACTGCAGACCGTCACACCCTGGACATAACCTGTTTCAGATTCTCCCCTCTATATTTGTATACGTTACAACTTACTGAACACTTGACTTGTATATAAACATAGGTTTTTTTGTGGGGGGTTTATATATACACCGTTTTTTCCTTTCACTATCATTCACATAATGATACCTGTATTTGTTCATCCTTGTTGTCCTTGTTCAGTTGTTGTGTGTATTTATGTGTAAGTTCCCTGAGAGCAATGCAAAAAAAAAAAAAAGAAAAAAGAATAAAGTCAAATTCTTTTATGTGCACACATACTTGGCCAAATAAGTTAGTTCTGATTCTGAATATTAGAAAAATAGATTTTTTTTTTAAAAAACAAAATAATAAAAAACAAAACAAAAAAAACATCAGTTCATGTTTATCTCTACTATCAGGTTAAAAGAAAGGTCACATACATTCAAAGGTTTGGACTGTTTAACTACACTGAGAAAGTTTCTGTTTAAAGCTGCAGTGATACATGTTTATTGGCCACTTGTGGACCATAATGGGCCGTAAACATAACACTTATGTATCACTTTATAAAGTTGTCATAGGTTGGTCATTAAGAGCAATACGTTTTGCTTTAGACAAAGTCATCTGGCATAGTTCATATAAAAACAGTGATTAGTGCATCTTTAAGGCTGCCATGTCAATGTTTTGTTTTATCATTAACAAGAATGCCCTTAAAGAGACCAGAACCAATAATGATCTAATCTTGGTAACCGCTATACTAACAACTGTCTCTTCACCAACAGGAATAAGAACAAAAAAACACAAAGTAGAGAAGAAGACCGTCACACATCATATGGTTCTCCTGCATGTGTCTCAGCCAAGCCCCCGTATACATACGGAAACATGGCAGTCAGTCAGGGGTCACTCCAGTATAGTCTGTGAAGATAAGGCCAAGTTCCAGTATATCTCTGCCTTAATCCTCACAAACTTTAATTAACATCAGCTGTGGATGCAGCAAGGAAGAATGAATGCTGCAGAGTGCAAGTGCTGTCTGAGGAATGGGACAAGACATTGTGACATCATATGGTCCTTGGGAACATCCATGTCTGTGGCCTGTAAACTGTAAGATTCATAATTCATGTGTAGTTTAACAGTAGTAGTTTAATTAAACTCACTATTTTTTGTTCACTCCTCTGTCAGTATGTTAGTTTCTACTTTTTGTCATATATAATGAGACCAGCTGAAAATAAAGGACTTATCACAGTCCCTGTTGCTGTGGTTATGTACACATAAACATGTTCTTGCTAAACAAACCATCTTAGTGCTTCTCCTAATGTATTTCCAAAAACTTCCTTCTGCAACAGCTGGGCTGAGGTTGGACGATGGTGATGATTATCATTATCTGGCAATTGTGGTTTGATATTTCAACCTATCCCATTCCCAGGGTGTCAAATATGGCAGTTGTCGTTGATGGTCATTGGTATCTGATTCCAGCACACAAGGCACTCTTTCGTGTCTATATGAGATGCACCGGGGTTTCAGCTAACTCCAATGCAAACCCATCCACAGCACACATGCAGTATAAGGAGCAAGAAAGTCCAAGTAGGGTGGGAGGGAGGAGAGGTGGATGAGTCAAACAAACACAGGACATTCAGACACCGTTGGTTTTGTCCCCTGTTACATGACTTTTAAGTTATGTAGTTACCATCATATGTTATGTATATCATTTGACGTAGTGGTTAACTTATTGAAGTTACATAACAAACGTACTTATTTTAACCCAAACCCAACCAGGCCTCACTCTGAAGTCAGCGAAAACCGGTGCTTGGTAAGTGACTTCCGGTGTCAGACACCTACCAAAAAAGCTGTCCTTTCACATCGGCATAATATGCAGCCGGTCGGTGTGAGGAGGAAATGCAGCAGGTAACAGTGAAAGTTAAGGGGGCGGAAGGCAGGTGGGAGGGGTGGTGGATGGGTTCAACAACCACTGACTCTCAAACAGGGGCTGGTAATCACTTCCCATAAGATTGTAAATCCAAGTCTTGTTGTTTTTTCCTGCACCCAACCACGTGCTTTTGTTGCCTAAACCCATCCACATGCATGCGCTGGCAAAACATAACCATGTGTGTTTGTTGCTGAGGGGAAAAAAAGGTTAATCTGTGATGTTTTACCAACGTAGTGTGTTTATTTTGAAAGAGACTGTATGCAAACTGTACATGTCCTGTGAAAACAGAAGTGTATTTAGAAAACAGACAATGCATGTAACAGGCTGAAGTTGACACTGTGTTCCATATCATCAACAACCAAAGCACGTCATTTGTTGACGTAAAAAAGTCCATGACCAAACACTGATGATGTGACGAGGTCAGAGTGAGCATGTGTTGCCCAAACCATGATCTTTTTTTCTAAACCTAGCCAAGTATTTTGGTTGTCCAAACCTTTTGGTGATGAAACCTACATTTCCTGTGAATACGGAAGTTTATTTTAAAAAGACACTATGCACGTAACAAGTGGAAACTGACATGCTGTCCTTGAGCATCCAAAACTTGACACTAGAGAGATACCTCAGTTGTCATAGTTTAAAGTGCAGGTCCACTGACCAAGCTGCTGCATTTGACGAGTTGGGAGTGAGAATGTGTAGGATATTTAATGGATTTACCTCGTCGTACGTTGAGGTGACCTTCTGCTCTAAGTGGTTCAAGAGGGTCTCAATGGCTGACATGCGTCTGTTCAGGTCAGTGATCTAGAGAAAGACAGGGAGAGTCATGGAGGCTACAGTCAGATGATGAAGACAAGACATAATAAAGAAAGAAACGTTGGAAAATCACAGGATTTCAGAAGCTTAGAAAATTGATTGTATTAAGGAAAATAAATTGGAGAACTTGGGAAAAGTTTCCATGCTTCTACTAAGAGCTTCTTCAAAACAAGATGTACAGTACAGTTTATAGTTGACATGATGCTGTTCAAATCACGCTCTAAGTAACAGCATCTCATATGATATCAATTTCACTCGGACTGAACACGTCAAACAACATCATCAGTGTCTGAACTCTAAGCCAAGTCAACTCATCCCCAAATCAGATTTCACAATAATTGAGAGGGTCCACTCTTAAATGACTTGGATGAAGCCAGAACAGTCCACATGCAGAAAAAAAAAATAAAGAAAAAAAGATCCACTATTCACGATCCTGTATACTATAAAGTGAAATCAAAGAAATGTTCCCTTGGATAATGGATCGTAATGCAATAATACCATTTTTTCCCTCTGCTCTCAAAAAACAAAACAAAAAACAACACACGCACAAGCATGGTTTAAAAAAAAAATCTTTGTCCGAATGAAAAGGGAAAAACACAGTTTAATAACTGTCAAGAGCACATCAACAGGTTGTGACAGAACCCTAACAATAAAGCCATGTTAGCCAGTCACACAAAGAAAAAGATCAATCAGAGGCCTAAAAAAACTAGTGAAAGGCTACTTATGGCAGTTACCTTAATAGTGATTCTGATGCCCTGTTCCTAAATATAGTGGAAGAGTGGCTGTACATTTATGTGTAAACAAGTAAAAAGTCCTGTTAGTAAGAACCGGTGCTATTTTGGTAATGTCCACCATTGCACGAAATGTAATGTTGCTCACAAAGGAGATAATGGTGGGGTGCTGTGGCCGTGCTGCCTGCTCTCTCCGGTTTTATGCCAGGCTCAGCTCCTTTCAAAGACTCCTTGCGAAGCACTCCTCCGGGGTTTTTTCGGACCTAATTGTATTGCGGAGTTTTGCACAGCGGCTACCGGATCTTTGCTCTCAAACCACAAAAAAATGTGATGGCACAACAGTCTCCTTTAGTACATTATTCTATGCTTTCTTTTGATTTTCACATTGGCTAGTCATCCTGTTTAATTTGTCTTCTGATTAAATCGGAACCGTTGAAACAGGTTGTAGGAAGCCTCTGCAAGTAATTGGTTGCTGGCAGACACTCTGTGCTGCAATAAAATGGTTAATCAGCAGTGCCGTGCACCGTAGAGCCGATGCGCTGCTGGTTCTGCCGGCCTGAATAGAATATAATGTCTACTGTTGTGTACAGCATTTATAGACTGAGCTGAGTAGTGATGCGCGGGTCGACCCGTAACCCGCGGGACCCGCAAATGGACCTGCAGGTCGGGCAGCAGTGATCGCCTGTTAAATAGGTCTGTAAATGATGTTTTGACATTATAATCTATTAATCTATAATCTATTACTGTCATGGCATCCGAAGGTACTGATGCGTTGAGCAGGTGACAGTCCGTGGCCGTTTTCAAAACACACTTGTGTCATGCACTCCAAAAGAAACTTGTTGAAACTTTAAACAATAATTTATTGTACAAAACGGGGGAAACAAATGTTGACAAAAACGGTTTCATAATTCATATTAAATTCAAAAGATAAAGTAAAACTTGGCATTGATCCACAGCCTCAGACGGATGCACTCAAGCCTGCCGTGCGCACAAGCTCCGTTGGTAGGCGATACTATATTTTCACATTTTTAACAATGCAATTTAAAAGTTTTGATTTTTATTGATAACCTACATTTGCCAACAACAAAAAGACTACATTTAGCACCAAAAAAATATGTTAAAAAAAAAAAAAGTAAATAAAAAAACAAATATCGAATACCAAATTTTCATAATGAATACCTACCCATAGAAATGAATATTCGAATATCTGAATATTTGGGTACAGCCCTAGTAGGTATATGTGCAAACAATGCACGACAGCCTGAACCTAACCATAATGATTCATTTGGCAGTCAGTGTAGACATCTGCATTAATTAATAATTTAAATATATGTAGTCCATATTCCATTCAGTCATCCAGATGGATGACTGAAAAACACAGCTAAAAGGTTTTCTGTGTTGACACGCCATCGCACATCAGTCCAAACTCCCTTCAACAAACCAGTCAGTGAGCCCTTGTGCCTTGTATGGAAGCATCCACATTTTGTTATGTTCTCTGCTCATTTATTCAGGTTGTTCCTTTAATTTGTCATTTGTCTGTATATTAAACATGTAAACAATCTGCAACGCTACTCTACACCATTTCTGCCCCACATGTGCCTTGTGCCTGCAACAGAATCTGTACTTTCTGACTCATCCTGATGTCTTGTTCCACAAACACTATCAAATTGGATATGTCACTTGACTTTCAGCCTCGCTTGGCGGCTTGAATTTTTTCCAAATCAGAATCAAACGGACAGGAAGCGAAAACCATGTGTAGGATGAGTAACTGGTGTCTGACAATCAAGCCTGTTTTTGATGTCTGACAGGCACATGTCTGGGCTGTATGTTTTCTGTTTGTGTCTCCCAGTGTGCTGCCCAGCTGTGAAACAAATTTGCCATGACACCAGATATTGAAAGTGGAAATCAGCAAACGGCCAGGTGGGATTGAAACTGCTGATCCTTTTATTGTCATGGCTGCCTTCCATCACAGAGCTTTATCACCTCTGTTTTCATATTCCTTATTTTTAATAACTTCAAAGAACATAATTTGATTCAGTTAGTCCCAATCATATCTGAGTTATTAATGCTCCACAGCATGTCTGAATCAACTCAAAGACACATGCAACCATAACTGTAGGGCACATGAGGACACATGTAGGCTCACTGACTGCTGACAGCAGAAAGAAAAGCAGCCTGCTCAAAGTCAGCCAAACTAATGGTAAACAAAGTCTGTTTTTTATCTGCTCCCCATGAAGAGATCAGCAACAGTTGTTGTGATCCTTTCCAGGGACTGAGTTGTATGCTATCGCATAAATAGACACTGATGTCATGTATGCAACCCTCCTCTGATCTAGCAGCTGTCTGCCCTACATCACTCAACGTGTCAGTTTGATTAACTTGTGTGTGTGTGTGTGTGTGTGTGTGTGTGTGTGTGTGTGTAGGTGTGTGTGTGTGTGTGTGTGTGTGTGTGTTAGAGTTCCAACATGTGCTGCTCAAAAGACCTGGATAAACAGTTCATTAGCTGCTGTCTTTCAGATATATGAATCCAAACCACACTTAGTGATTGTACAGATGATATGCGTATTGTGCCAGGTTTTGCCTCTTCTTCACGACCCAAACAGGGCAAGATTAGATTATAGTTTTGAGAGTTACGTTTATAGTTTCATCTTGCCATTTACTGCCCATTTTAATGATGCAAATTCCTTCCAACACAGCATGAGGCAGTGAGCTCAGAGCTATACCATGCAGTCAAATGTTGCCAGTTGAAATGTTCACATTGTCCTTAGCTCCCCTGAATATACTATTAGGTAAAGCTAAATAAATAAATGAACAAATACATAGATAAATAAAGATTAAAAAATCTACTGGATAGCCTCACCCTTCGTCGATTTCACACTTTTTAGTTTGATTCCAATGCTGGGGTAATATTGACTATTGTTCAGTTTGTCCCCCATCAACATGTCAAATAAAAAGGTTTTCTTGCGTTTAATGCCTCTGGGTTTAAATGCTTTTTTTTAGAGACTGTCAAACTGTTCCAAGGAAGAAAAATCTTGAACATTAAACTTTTATAATCCATCAATAATAGCCATATGGGTTTTATATACATCAGTAAAGTTAATTGATATCAGACAGAGTATCCTTGCTATGATGGGAACTGATTATGTAAGGAGGTTGAATGTTGTGAATTAAGTTTCTGATTCTTAATGTTTGCATGTGTTATGAGGTGTGGAATAGGGTACGGTGATCAGTATTCCATACGAAGTAGTACCAGGGCCAGAATCACTGCTGTTGGTACTTTTTTATTGTTAAAAGCAACCAATGTGGGGGAGAAAATGTGTCATGATTTATGAGCTGAATGTATCATTAATAGGCTACTTCAGAAAAACATAAAAAATGAATTTATGAGTGTCCCAAAGCCATCTGCCAAAGAAATTTAATGTCATGAGGATTTCATATGATGACTGAAAGATAATAATATGCATGATATTAAAAACCTGTGGCGAAGGTTTTGGTGAGTTCAGGCTCTCCTGGGAGGTGTGGCTGCAGTGGCCCAGATGAGACTGGTAGAGAGGGTAGTGCTGGCAGTGGTCATCTTCCTCTAAGTCATCGGGGCCGGGCAGATAGCTGCTGCTGCCCCGGGGGCCCCAAGCACTTCCACTGCCACATGAGGAGTAACTGAGCTGGGAGATGGAGTGAGATGGAGTAGGTTGGTTGTCTGGGTATGCAAGGTTATCTAGAAAAAAAATAAAAAGGTAAATTAATACATAAAATGAGCAATACTGTTTCCACATTTATTTCAGGCAGGCAAAAATAAATGAACATGTGATTTTTAGTATTATTTTTTTCAGGTATTCAGTCAGTGCTCCACAATATGTTAGGCTGAAAAAACCATACATTTTGAACAGTCACCATGACTATTATAAAAGAAACATGACCAGTTGATGCTGATAGCACAGTTACATAAATAGTGGCAAGTGTTTGTTAGAGGGCTGAAGAAGAAATTCTTTAATTTCCTCCAGCTCTGTACGTTCCTCAGGCTGGGTTATTTCATAAAACTGTTTTTTTGCTAAAACGTAGTGACAAGGTGATCACAAGCAGCTAATGTTATTCTACACATTGTAACACATATGGCACATGTGGATACTTCCCAAAACATCTAGACAGTGCCCCTTTTTGGGGGATAGAAAACCCACGATGCTATAACTAGTTAGTTAAAAGTTTTTTTGGATTATAATTTGAATGCATTTATTTCTGGTTAAACAAATGTTTGTTACAAAGACATGCCCAATAATTGTTTTGCAACCTTGCCTGAGCCTGAACAGTCGTGTACTATGGGGTGCTGTTTGTAAAGTGGCTCACGCTGAAAATAACATCAACATTTTGCCACATTTAGCTTCAAACAATGTTTAAAAAAGTGTTGTGAATTTTTTAACGTCACCTTTTACCACATTTACAGCAATATTTGTTAACTTAAAAATATATTAAATAGTTAAATCTAAATATTAAATGTGGCACCTAAATGTTAAATGTTAAATCTAAATATTAAATCTAAATCTAAATGCTAAATCTAAATGCTAAATATAAATCTAAATATTAAATCTAAATGCTAAATCTAAATATAAATGCTAAATATAAATCTAAATATTAAATCTAAATCTAAATGCTAAATCTAAATGTTAAATCTAAATATTAAATCTAAATCTAAATGCTAAATATAAATCCAAATGTTAAATCTAAATATTAAATCTAAATCTAAATGTTAAATCTAAATGCTAAATATAAATCTAAATATTAAATCTAAATCTACATGCTAAATCTAAATGTTAAATCTAAATATTAAATCTAAATCTAAATGCTAAATATAAATCTAAATGTTAAATCTAAATCTAAATCTAAATGCTAAATCTAAATCTAAATGTTAAATCTAAATATTAAATCTAAATCTAAATGTTAAATCTAAATGCTAAATCTAAATGTTAAATGTTAAATCTAAATGTTCTGGGTGAAACTAAATATTTAGCTAATATGCAAATTCACACTGCCGGTCACTGGAAATACCAAAATAAAAGCTCGAGATGGTCAGACTGTGTTTATAGAATCAAATAACGAATTAAAATCAATTTATCGGGGGAAATGAACACTTGAACATACATTAGCGTGATAATAACTACCTAAAATAACAAAAAACATGTTTGAAGAAATTTTATTTGATGTGTACTTTGAGTTGTTAGTGTCCCTTCGGAGGAAATCACCTTGTTGTTTACAAATACTTCCGGGTAGAAAACCAGCAGAGTTTAGCTATATATATATATATATATATGAATATCTCACATTTTTCAAGTCACTATATCACCGTTTAGACTAATCTGTTGTTTGTAAAGTCTATAAACACAATGATTGAACAAACATTACTATTTCTGTGTGCACGTTTTGAAATTAACTAGCTAACCGTTAGCTGTTAGCATGGAAGAGAATACAATCTTGGTCTCTACAGCTAATTTCCTCCGTCATGACAACTCACAGGGGGTGAATTTTTAAATAACTCATCCCGTTACATTTTATTAAGGCTTAAAGTTTTGCATAATTAAGGGTGGTCTGCCGATACTGTCTTCAGCATCTGAGTCAGATAAACCCCTCACTCATCCACAGCTCCAGCCTCTCGCCCAAATATGGTCTCTTCTGGCTCCAAAAAAACAAAATGGCTACAGCTGAAATGTCCATCTCGAGTCCACAAACTGATGGGTGACGACAAGGCATCTACATCCATTATTTTTATAGAATGTGGTTTACGGAAGTAAGGTGTTTTTGTTTTAGCTAGTTAGCCCTTTTAACTGTGTGGTTTCTCCAAATAAGTTAACATTGTTACTAACACTACAATGGGTTCCTTTACACGTTACTTGCTGCTGTCACTAGGTCTTCATTTGTGTGCTGTAGCTATGTGTAAATTTGCTGTTTTTATACCCACACACTTTAGAGTAGTTTGTTGAAACCTTTTAGGTGACCCGAGATGTGTTTTGTCCTTTCCTTACCTTGCTGTGGAGCCATTCCCAGATCCAGACCTTTGCGTTGCTCCTCCAAAATCTGGTGGAAAACAGAGGCCATATCGGCCTCAGCAAGCATTGACTCCCTCTCACCTACATCCATGTCCATGATGTTATGGGAGACTGGGGCCTAAGAATGAGGATGGAGAGTGGTGAGTGCTATTGTGACAAACTGTTCATTGGTACAGAGGAGCTGATGATGCTCGTACTGATGCTGTTTTAGGATTATATAGAAACTCTGTGTCAGAGAAAGAAGGCTGGTGCTGTGGCGGCAAACTAAATAACTTTTCTTGTATTGATCAATAATAGAAATAATGAAATCAAACAACGATCATAAAACACAGTGGGCTACAATGACATAATGAGTGGAGCTGGTTCAAGTTGTGGCACGGCAGTAATGTTATGTTATGAGTTACGTTAAACTGTTCAGATTTTATAAATGTGACCAAAGCTATTTACATTTATAAAATTACAACTAAGCTGACTAGCCTCTTGATTTGGTGTTCTTCCTGGCAGTAGTTTGATGTGTTGATGTTTAATATGTTGGTTGTGGCCCATAATGCAACAACTCTGCTTTTACAGTTCATCACATTTAATTTTTAAGAATTTATTTGCCATGTGATCCCTTAATGATACAGCCATTGTGACTTGGTTTCATGTGACTTGTGTCTCTTTATATTTGGTGAAATGCTGTCTGGTCAAAGCATGCTGTTAATGAGCTGACACAATGTGTTTGTTTCTGTGCATACTGGGATGAACACAATGAGTCCAGACACGAAAATGAATGAATAATGTAATATTGTCTCGCCAAACCAGACAATGTTTAGTGAAGAAAGAGAACAGAAATGAGCTAAAGAAAGAACAGACAATGGGCCCCTTGTATGAAGGCATGCAAATTAGTTTGGTTTGGAGAAAAGCTGGTTCTGGTGTCATTTAGCCTCTACCTGGTTTGGCCGTCCTCTTGAATTGATGAAGTTGTCAAAGCCCGGTTCAAAATCAAAGGGATCGACAGTTAGCCGCCTTTTGGCCTTTTTCATCTTTGGAGAGCAGAAAGGGAAACACCATCACCAATAGAGAGGAGAGAGTAGGGAGGTAAGAAAGATGATTCAAATAAACAAGTGTAGACCCAAGGAGAAAAGAGGAGAGGAGAGGATAAGAAGGATTCCCAAATTTTTACCATTGCAAAACACTTCTCACATTGAGATTACCAAAATTAAGCACAATGGAAATGATTCACTAATTATTTCTTTTGGAGAACACACAAACAGAGTTTTTTCCTCTCAAAATATATATCTAGCAGTCTTTAAAGAACCCAGAAGGATGAATAACAACAGTTACTGAGGGTATTGCTAGAATCTGCAGAAACATAACAAAAAATTGTCAGAAATGATATACAATGTGTTTTTGCTCCTTTTTTCCAACACAACCAAAATATAAATGTGGTATTTGTATGGAAATATAAAATTGGAAAGTTAACTAAATAAATGCTAATCTAACTAATAATACTATTTTTAATAATACTATACATTGTACAAACTGAGCATGTACATATGCAATTTTTGCTTGGATTAGGAAAAAGTCTTGGGAACTGAGTTAAGAATTGTTTTTAATGTGCAGCAGATGGAATAATTTTTCCTCCAGATGGTTAAAAGAGTCTCTCAGAACAGTGGCAAGTTTTGTTAAACAGTCTTGGTTGCTAGGTTTATATTTTTTTGGAGAGGGAGACATGTATATTTAGCACTTTTTACCTGGTTGCTAGGTTTATATTTTTTTGGAGAGGGAGACATGTATATTTAGCACTTTTACTTAAATGTGACATTAGAAGAGAAACAAACTGGGGCTAGCAGAACGTGCTATATGCTATTGGGCTATGTGGCCAAGAAAGACAGGGTCTCAGGTTGAAGCCCTGTGTTGTTAATAGAGGAGCCACTCTATCCAAGAGTCCTTGAATAGGACACTGAATCCCTACAGGCTCCACAATCCACCATGTGGGTACACTGTAACACCTCTAAGTGGATGAAAATATCAGAAAAGTTTCTGGTCAGGGATCAGTGAGGTGTTTCAAAAGGCAATACTATAGTTGGAGCAGTAGAGGGCACTCTGTCTAAGTGAAAATCAAACAAGGGATGCAGGAAGCACCACATGGCCTTCTTGTAGTCAGTCTTTTTGCAACATCCATCAAAAGTCTAATCATATAAGTTATAAACAAAACCTTAATCGGGAGGCACACTGGAAACAAAGGCAAAGCATCCGGAGACCCAGCACAGCCCAAGAGTTCTGTCAACATTTTTTCTACTCAGCAGGCGCTGCAGTGATTGAAAATAAACAAAGCTTAGCTCCCTCATTACACAGAGACTGTGGTATAAACAATAGTAGTCTTGGTTTTTATGACGAATTCCAGTGGACTCAGTGCGCCATTTTTACAATCTCAGGACTTGAACCAGAGGCTCTTTCAACTCTGCTCTGCCTCTTTTATGTGTGTGATTATGTATGACAGCTTGGTATTTACCCACAGTGCACCACCGTCATTGCCGGTTGGACTGTGCCTAACCTTAGTCATCACAAGCTGTCAAGGCATTCCAGTTGTGAGGGGTGGCCTAGATCACATAGATAACCTGTGTAGAAAACACCTCTGCTTTTTAACACAGGAAGGAGCCGTCAGCATGACAAAAATCAGAGCTGAGCACAGTAGAGCCTTGCAAACTCTGAGTTCTTTCAAAAGACGTGCATGCAAAATGCCCATTTGGACTTGAATGTTTTACAGATGAGATTTGGTTCCTCTCACTGTAATATCTTTTAATTAAGAAAACTGAAACATGTTAGGTGTGGGCAACAAATCAATACAACTGAAATGAATCAGGAAGTATTTGTAGGTTCTTATGTGTTCAGGTCTCAACATTAATAAAGCGAGAAAAAACCCGAACTGCTCATGTTCTGCTGTCTGGGAACAGATAGGTATCTGCTTCTTGTTTTATGATGCATATCACAGGAATGCCTTCTGTTGGCCACAGACTCACTAAAACTTAACTACCTACAAAATAGCTACAAGCTGCCTATTCATTTAATGTTCTCAACAAGCAAACACAGATTAGGTCGTTAATATGAAAGCATAGGGAAAAGAACCACATGTACTTGTTCTTTAACCATAATAGAACAAGCTAGTTTCCATACCCCCTTGTAGTGTTGTGAATCTGTTGTGTCCATACTGTTTTCCTCATTCCCATCTGCTGATGAAGAAGACAGACATGTTAGTGTTAACCTTTTAACAGTAACAGAATGAAAACATACTATGCAAAAAAGTGTATGACTTCTGGAAAGTAATGCAATACACAAATAAAATAATCTGGCATTTCTCTGTATGCATGCATTTGTGAGCAAACCTAAAGTCACACAAGGCTGACTGAGTAGAGAATTACACCTCTTACAAAACAGCTACATAACAGTTAACCTAATAACCTTTGTCTTTACAGCAAGATGCAAACTGCAGGTCATACAGCAAATCAAATGCTCTTTTTTCCATCAGGCAGATGTGTGTTTTCAGCTCCTTTTTATGAGAGTGTTTATGAGTGAGCTGCAATTCTACGTAACAGTTCCCTGTTGGATAGTGAGAGGGAGAGGAAGGAGATGCTGGAAACAACAAAAGCTCCAGAGATGTGTTCAAGAATGAGCTTCCCAGATCAGCCAATAAAGAGATAAACTTGAAAGCCTGAGCAGAACAACAACATTACAGATTAGGTTCATGCACATTACAATAAACAGCTGCGAATAGTTACTGCACTAATACTCATTTCCAACATGAATCAATTTGATAGACTTTTGCTACATCACTCTGAAATAATCTGCAGGAATTTTTTTTGCAGATGGACACAAAAAAACCTTCAAGCACCATTACTGTTATAATTACTACTACTACCTCTAATGATAATGATGAAGTAATAGAAATACTTGCCACTAACCATATTTGTTTTAAACCTTGCTGACTCTCCCTGACTAACACTTCCCTGGCTCTGCTTTTCTACTCTTGATATGCCAATGTGAATAAAAGCCAGGCGAGCCCTGACTGTGCCAGCCTAACCAGAACCATTTGGTCCATTCCCAAACCGCTGTACCCGCTGTATGTGACATTCAAAACTGCAAGGTTTATATGGATCACTTTAATAGTCTAGTGGGAATGTTCAATACTAAGACTAAATTTCAAATTACCTGGATTTACACTATCATTGTGTTTATTCATTACCATCCTAAATATTGTGACTAAACTGTTAGTAAACTAGGCAGCATACTAGTAATTAAACATTCATGTGATTCCAGAATGGATCCTAAGAAGACCACACACATGGCTGAGTAAAGCCTCTAAGGGGCCTCGGGGGAAAATTTATTGGACTCAAACTGACCACTTTTTGTGGTCATATGGTGAAACATGGTTGGGTATAGGAATGTGAAGGGCCCCTTACTATGACAACAAAACAGGTAACACGAAGGACCCACCTTAAAGTCCCCAAACAAATTTGCAATTAATCAAGTTATAACAAACCAACTACTTTGTCTGGGTGGCAATCCAGCCTTGACCACACAGACTGACTGAAAGTGACTCTGAAATGTCTGACAGTCAGTGCACACAATGTGAACAGCACACAGCTGTAATTAACAGGATTTGCCACATAGTGCAGGCCCCCAGGAAGTCCATGGCCATGAGGCATTTTTTTTGGGTCAAATAGCTGTTACCATACAGTCTATGGTCGCTACACATCTACCTAGCTAATTGTTTTTAGCCATGCTACTGGCATGGCTTAATTGTGTGTCATTAAATTGGTTGTACACACAGCACTCTATCTGTTGACATGTTGCTATGGTATTTGTATGCACAAAATATATTAAATATAATGTACTTAATGCAATGTTATCAACGGCTATTGCTAAGAATGGCTAAGTTAGCTAGAACTGTCTTGGTTTTCCAACTTCTTGTACTGGCATGTGTTCAACTTGAGTGTGACGTAATGCCCAGCCTCAACTTCTGACTTCTGAGGTAAATGGAACACAGCAAATGCATCAGCATATCAGCATGATGATGTTAGCATTTAGCTCAAAGCACTGCTAGGCTAAAGTACAGCCCCACAGAGCCGCTAGCATGATATAGACACAGCCTTGTTTTTAGGCCACTTGAGGTAATATTTGGTAAAAAGCAACAAACTATTGAATAAAAGAAGAAAAAAAGAAGTATATTCAAATCAGTAGAGATATCTGTCAACAATACCTGACCTTTGCTTATGATTTGGATTAGTCATTTAGTTTAGTCTACTTACCGTGGACCTCCGGTATGCTCTGTGTATCGTATTCATGAGGCTCTGGAAAACAGAAAAGATGAAACAAGACACATCTTATTTCATTGTGTTTAATTACAATTTGAATAGAAAATTGATGAGGTTAGTTTTGCAATGTTGCCATTCAGTAACTGTAATAAATAGTTCAGCAAATTTGGGATAATTCAGGTAGTCCTTACTTTCCACATAAAATTATAATCAGAAGCAGAAGCAGCAGTAGCACTGTTAAACTGAAGAGTCGAGGTCAGCCAACTAATTAAATTAAACTCCTTTTAATGCAGCATATGTGAACAAAGGCTCTGTTGTTAGCATCAGTGTTACAGCTCCCCACGTGCACAAAAGAAACTGCAGAGAAAATAGGATGACACCCTCCGAGCTTTGGGGGCCCAACGGACCACAGCAGAATACATACAGTAAAAAGACAGCAAAAGAATGTGTGTGTGTCTGAGCGTACAGTCATGCATGTTGACTTTAATCCACGTGGTCACATGAATGTCCACATGTGATGAGTTGCAGAGCATTTTAAACGTAATGCATCTGTTAACATGCATATTTATGGCTGTATTTCATAAATAAAGATTGCATCTGTGCACCCTCTGTGAGCTGGATTCCACATAAATACATGACAAACAAAAGTTTTGTTTGCCTTCCCTCTTTCTGTCTCTTTCCCTGTCCTCCTCTCTGCTTCTGGTCGGTGGAGCTCTGCTCTCTGAATCCTTCAATTCCAGGCACAGAATGGGAGACATGTGACTGGATGATCACAAGGCCCGTCGGGCTAAGCCAGCAAACTAACTCGTTCTGTATCCTGTCCCAAAATTCTCGAGGGTGACTCAGCGTAAGCAGTACCAGGAGTCCCGGCTGTCCCTCATAACTCATTGATCTCCTGATGCTATGATCTCACTTGGAGACCTGCTGTGTATAATAATGGTTAAAGCTGATATACAGTGTGCTTCAAGGGCACTTGTTTTATATGCTATGGGTTTGGCCAGAGGATATTGGCAATGCTGCATGAAGGTCTTCAAAAAGAGAGCAAAAAGTGCTGGAAAAGTTTTGATGAGGCCTCAATACCGTCACCGCATTAGACTTTAAACACCAGCAGCAAACATAAACAGGGCTTTTCACCACATGAGTGTCTCTGGTAATAATGTCTAAAGAGGTACAGCAGTCATTGTATATGTCTGACAAGGCTAAGCTTCCAAGCACACTGGTCAGTTAAGGACAAAAACCTGACATTGGCAGACCTGGCCTGAGCCATAACCAGGCCTGAGACAGCACTCGGCACAGCTGTGAGGAGCCAGAGCCGGAAAAACAGGAAAGATGGAAGAGATTAAATCCCTGTGACAGATTTGGCAGACTGTTGATGACGGCTTACTATCTGAAAAAGAGAAAGGAAATTTAATTCTTGTGACTCAGTGTCAGAAAAATGAAGGGTCTCATAGACGTGTGGGCGACACACAAGAAATACAGCGATGGCTCTTAGGAAGATGTTGGTCCGCCAGGAGCTGCCAGAACAGCTTTAAGACTCCTTGTTATAGATTCTCCAAGTGTGTGGAGGGCTACTGGAGGGGTGAACACCATTCTTTAAAATTATATCCCCTAATTTGGTGTTTTTATGATAGTGGTGAGTACTGTCTGATATCCTGTATGTGGTCAACCTTACGACTGAGATTTGGTAACTGCAAAGGCATTCATTTCAATAATGTTCATGCTACATGCATTAACATGAAGAACTTGTTGTTCATTTAGATAAAATGAGCTTCTCTTAGAAAAAATAGTACATCACCAAGTCCAATTCTTAAACTTTAACTTGACAACTGACACAACCCACACATGTGATGCACTTGTCATGGTGAGGTTTTACCAATTATCAGATGTGGGAGTGTGATTCAGTGGGCTAATACACATTCTCCATGCACTTACAGTGCAGTGTGCAGCTGTTGCGTCTCCTTGAAGCCTTTCATTTTTTGGGGATTTTTAATGGTAAGCTCAAGCTGACCTCTAGCAATGCCCTGCGACTCAACTTTTGACCTGCAGCACCTCCAGAGGACTTGTAAAAAAACTGAGTGGAACAGATGGAAATTTTTTATGATTGGCTCTTCAAAGTCACCTTGACCCAACAACTGACATTCTAACTCATTTGTAACCTTTCATTTGCACTGCTTCACATTCATACAGATACTCCCACCTGGCAGCTGCCCAAAATAACCACAGTTTCTGAATGTAAACCACTGAGCAGCTCCCGTCAGCTGGGGTTAATCTCTTTGCTGAAAGGCCACAGTGACAGTATTTGTTAAGTAAAGGGGTGTTAACCTAGCCTGGCATTGCCAGACCCAATTCGCAAAACGCGAATGGGTCTGGACACGGACTGTGCATTTCCTCTTTTCCCGAGGGGCGGTGTCAGCGGTTGTCACTCAAAGTGCACGCAATTGGAATAACGGAAAACCAATCATAGTAAACGAAACGTGTGATGTAGGCTAGCACAATGCCACTGTAAACAGACCAGCAAGCAAGTGCAGCGTGCAGCGGAGATGAGCTGTGATGATGTCTGGGAAACAGTGTTGCCGTCTTTGCGGATTTCCTCCTCACTGTGGACTCTGAGTTGCATGCCTGTGATTCCCATCTTGGTTGCTTCCCTGACCTGCTCCTCCATGAGAGCAACTAGTGAAGAAACAACAATAGCCACTGGGTTTTCACTGAGTCCCATCTTTTTCCCGATCAATGGAGCCAGTTGATAAATTAAACTTTTACCAAACCCCGTAGGAAGGACGGTAAACACATCCTTTTTTCAATAAAAGCTTTCAGTGCAGCCGTTTGTTCTGCTTTTATAGAAAATTTACATTCTAGTTCGTTCAACACATTTACCATTGCAGTTTCAAAATCAGTAGCTATGTTGGTTGTTTACGAAATGCATTCACTCCGCTCCTTGTCCCTTCCTATTCTGATGACGTGATTTCAAATAGCCCGCTCCAAAGTAATAAAAGGTTGTGATTGGCCCAGTAAGCCAAAATTGATGCCAGAATTTGCGTTTATGATTCCATGGCCAGACTGATCTGCGGAGCGAAATAGAATATGAGTTCGCGAGATCAGGATGGTTTCACCAGGCTAGCGTTAACCATTCACTTACCAATTTTCACAAGTGGATCAAGAAATAAAACATTCCAGATACAAGTATTTAAATCACTTTAGAAAGCAGGCATTATGTAGGGAAACTCCTGAAACCTTTCAAAATCCAATTTTGTAACAAATTCTCACATTATTTTCTTTACAGAAAACCACTCACAAAGGCATTTTGATAATAAAACTCACCTTCAAGGTCATTCTGGGAGCAACTGGGTTCTCCGCTCAACCTCTTGAAAAGAGATCTCATCACCTTGGCACTGCCGAAGCGCTTAAAGCGGGCACGGACATTTTCATGGTACCACTCCAAAGTACCAATCTTGAGGATCCTGTTAAAGGAAATTGAAAAGGCAAAATTGGTACTAATGATTTCATACACAGATCATCAGTGTATTACCAGTAATTATGTGGTAATAAAACATTCCTACAACAGACACTGAATATGCCTTTTGTCATACAAAGCAAGAGCAAGACATTGTTGACTGCTATAGTGAGTTCAGGTTGAAGCATGAGATGCATAGCATGATATTTTCCAGACACTGGCTGAGTTCAGTGAAAGGGCTTTTCAGTGCTGAGCCACATCTGAGCAAACAACGGTATAATGGTTACATATGGAGCTGGAACGAGCTGGCTGTATTAAATTCTATTTTAAATACATGTAACTCATGTACTGCACATTAACAAATATTCAGACCTCAGTCGAGCTGCCAAGTCAGATCAAAGTGTTTGCCCACTAGCTGCTGAAAAGCTAACAAATGTATTGATTAAGTACTGTCATACTCACAAACACATCACCGAGTTTATTCTGGAACTATGTTACAGTGGGACTTTAAAGCATAGCTCAAGCATCTTTTGATTTAGCTTGTACTTTGCTTTCATTTTCTTTCAAAACTATTATCAAATTTCCATCAATAGCTTTGCGTTAGACCCACAGTGTGCAATGACATGGATAAACTACCAAACACCATGGTTTCATAGTTTTTTTAGTTTTCACAGATTACTTCACAAGAGAGGTTTGTTATAAAAATACAAGGCCAAGCTGTATAGCTGTGCAGCTCTCCAATAGAGTATTCATAAGCCAGTAAACCCTTCAATCCCACTGGTGACTGGTGTTTTTATCTTTTATCATGATTAAAGGCAGGTCAACAGAGATAACCAGTAAAGTTCTAAAGCCAAAGCCAAGGCCATCACAACTGTGTAGAACCACAAAGGCACAGATTAAAACATTGAATTTATGCATGTTTCTTCATGGAAGTAATAATAATAATAATAATAATAATAATAAACTTTATTTATATAGCACCTTTCAAGAGCATAAAAGTCACAAAGTGCTTTACAGAGGCAATAAAGCAAAAAATATACATATAGACATAAAACACAGTAAAGGGAGAAAATAGACAGAACATATAAAAGAAAAAAGAAAAATAAAATCAAACAAAGGCAAGTCTAAACAAATGGGTCTTTAGCTGCTTTTTGAAGGTGTCCACAGATCTTAAATTCAGTGGGAGAGAGTTCCAAAGTTTAGGTGCCACAACCTCAAAATCGCAGTCTCCTTTGGTTTTCAGCCTAGAACGAGGAACTACCAGCAGGCCCTGATCTGAGGACCTCAGAGACCTGCTGGTGACATAAGGCTGCAGTAGATCTCTAATGTAGGCCGGTGCCTGACCATGCAGAGCTCTATATGTGACCACAAGAATTTTAAATTGGATCCTAAATTTGATGGGGAGCCAGTGGAGAGCAATTAAAATTGGAGTCACATGAGACCTTTTGGGGGACCTGGTCAACAGTCTGGCAGCAGCGTTTTGGACTAGTTGTAGGCGATCCAGAGACGATTTGCTAAGGCAGGTAAAAAGAGAGTTGTAATAATCCAGGCGTGACGAAACAATCGCATGGATCAACATTTCCATCTCTGCTTGAGACGCAATGGGCCTGAGTTTGGCTATGTTCCTCAGCTGGAAAAAGCAAGAGCGGATCAATAACTTCACATGTTGGTCCAGAGTCAGAGCCTGGTCCACAGTGACACCAAGAATTTTTACAGATGATTTAACCATTGAGGTATGAAAACCTAGACCATCCTTGATCTTAGGGACAAGAAATAAGGATTTCTGTTTTATCAGAGTTAAGCTGCAAAAAGTTATTGGCCATCCAGTTTCTTATAGCTGTCACACAGTCATTTAGAGCTGACAGTATAGCAAGGTTGTGGGGTTTAAAGGTGGCATAAAGCTGAATATCATCTGCGTAGCAGTGATAAGAGATACCTTTAAACTGTTTTATTATTTGCCCAAGGAGAAGCATGTACAAGGCAAATAGAACTGGACCAAGGATTACCATCTTTTCCACAAAGAAAGACAGAAAATTGTTACATTCCTCATCAGAGAAAATTGGTACAGCAGGTGATGCAGGGGTAACAATATTACCAATAGTCTCAAATAACACTTTGGGATTACACCTATTATTAGACACAAGCCTGGAGAAATAAGCAGCTCTGGCATCCTTCGCTGCATTATTAATAGACGCTAGAAGAACCCTTTCAAATAAAGATAGTGGACATGCAGTTGAATGGATTTCCATAAGCGCTCGACCCTTCAACAGTCTCTCTTCAGAGAGCGAATATTGTCATTTATCCAAGGAGAGGGCTTGATCAGGGGGCCTGCCTAGTTTTAATAGGAGCCACTTCATCCAGTACATTAAGGCAGTGATCATTAAAGGAATGTACCAAGGTGTCAACGTCACTGTCCACTTCAGAGTCGAAGTAGAAGGCAGCAGAGAACTTTCCAGCAGAACGGTGGTTAAGGATGCGAGAGCTTATAATACGGAATCCAGATGAAAAGACAAATCAAATAAAATACAATTGTGATCAGTAATAAAAAGATCCTCAAGGGATAAAGAATCAATATTCAAACCTAAAATAAAAACAAGATCCAGAGTGTGCCCTCTATTGTGTGTAGGGCCTAATACATGCTGAGTAAGGTTAAAAGACTCTGTGATGTTAATAAAGCTTGAGGCAAAATTGTCTGAAACATCATCAACATGTATATTAAAATCACCAGCAATGATAAATCTGGATAGCTTAAGAATAGAGGCCAAGAAGTCAGTAAGTTCAGTCAAAATGAGCCATTTGGGCCAGGAGGACGGTAAATTAAAATACAGTAAAATGGATTTTTACGTCCAATTTTAATCATTTGAAGCTCAAAGGAAGAGAAAGACCCAGTGCTCACTGAGCGACATAAAAAGCGGCTCCTGAGCACCGCAGCAAGTCCTCCACCGCGGTCTGAGAGTCTGGGCGAGCTGATTAAAGTGTAGCCCTTCGGGCAGAGCTCAATGAGGGGGCCAAGTTCCATATTCCTCTGCCAGGTTTCCGTCAGGAAAAGAAAGTCCAAGTTTTTAGACAAGACAAAGTCGTTTAGCACAAACGATTTGTTCGCTATGGTGCGTGCATTAAGTAGCGCCATTTGTGGAGGTGAAGACTCCTCGCAGTCGGCGGGGGAAACCCGGGGCATGGAGCGCAGATGACGCGCACTCCCTCCACCGCGCTGATGTATTCCCCACACCGGAGGGGCCGAGATCAGCTCCCCGGCCGAGTCAGGAAACACAGGTCGGAGAACGGAGAGTCTGACAGTCGCAGCCATCGATAAAGGGAGAGATCATTCCACGGAGTAAGGGGAAACATCAAGCCAAGGCTCATCAGAAGAGAACGGTGCCGTTTTCCAGCGACACCTCGCCTCCAGAGCCATCTTAGCTTTACCTGGACTCCGGCCCTTCTCCCTCTCCTTCTTCTGTACTTGCGAGAGCCTTGAAGCTGCAAACCACTGCGGGGAACGCTGGCAGCCACTGACACGAACGGAGGCGCCGAGGATTGCGGGTGACTACTCCAAGGAGTGGAAACACCATGATCCACCATGGATGCCCTGATGAACAGGAGAGTCTGGCAATCATACACCCGAGCAGCAAATCCATCGCTGACAAACAGTAGAATGAACAGAGCAATACAAAGAACAGGTAGGAGCCCACGGGAAAGCCGAGCAGCGGCAGAGCCAAACACAGGCGCCATCATACCCGGAAATGTGTTGTGTTTGTGTTGTGTTTAGGTCACAACCATGCAAGATGCTGAAGTGCCTTATTCACTTTAATGTGACCTCTGCAAGAGCAAGAGGGGGTTTGTAACATTTGTCCAGGCTAGATGTTATAGATGAGCACAACCATCTCTTTTGACATGTTGAGTTTAAATAAAAATCCAACACCACCACCCAAAAATAAAGAAAAAAGAAAAAAGGGGATGCATGATAATATCGACACGCCATTGTTACCGGCTGATATAAAATGAACATCATCTGCTGGTGGGCTATCATGATAAAAGTATGCATGTATAATATGACGTTAATTCCATTACAGAAGAGACTGGATGATCACTAAAATTAGGTGGGGAAAAATGTATCAATATTGGTATTGGTAAATGTTATATGTTGCCATATCGGATATTGGCAAAAAATCCAATATTGTGCATCCCGACACTTGTATCTTTCACACAGGACTTGGCACTTTCTGAATGGGTCTCAGATTTTTTGGTCAGATTTCTCATCTTTCAACCATGGTGCTGGCTTCACTTGGAATCACTACAAGTTTCATTTTTTTTTTAAATTTGTCATTTGCTACCTGGTCATGCGACAGGGATCGCACACCCAGCCCTGCTCCTTCTTGTTGTAAAGACTGCAGGACTTGCATATGTACAGCTGGCAGTCCAGACACTGACGCTTGCTGTTAACCAGGAACTTGAAGGGCTGGAGACATCGAATACAGTGTGATTCAGTCAGGCTGGTCTGGTTGCCCAGCAGCTCTCTCTTGGTGTCTTCTTTTTCAATCTTGGTCTTTAGTTCCCTGCAAAGACAAAACAAAGTTGTTCACTACATACAATACAGAAGTGTGTATAAGAATGATGACTCCAATTTATTGAGTCACAGGGTAATGTATTGTAGTTAATATGCAGAACTCAGAAAGCAAGAGAAAACATTTTACTGAAGAGCAGAGGAGGGACCAAGTCATTGTTTTGCAAGTCACAATTAGGTCTCAAGTCTTTGCACTCAAGTCCCACACTTTGAAGATAGTCACAAGTATTTTCAAGTCAAAAGGCTCAAATCCAAGTGAAGTTACGAGTCAAAGTTAAAGTCCAAGTTGAGTTGCAAGTCTTTTTTTATTTTGTCCAAGTCATGTCACTTTAGTCCATACCTTTGCCTAACGCCTGGGCCACACTGCCTGTGCATGTGCATCATGGAACCGCTTGTTTTTGTTTTTCGCACCAGTGTTAGGTTAGAGCAGTCACCATGCGCATGTGAGCAGGGCTGCTCAGGTGTGGTCTCACCTGCTTCTGCATGACACGCACAGTTTCAGAAAAAATAGATAGTGCAAATGTTTTTTTTATAATCATATTGACATTATACAAGCTTTCACTACAGTTTCAATGTCTTTATCTGTCACAGACATGAAAAAAGTTTTTCTGTTTGACTTAACGTTTCCTGTGTCCATTTCAAAATAAAAGCCCTATGACAACATTTCTGTCAACAGAATCATTTCATTTCAACACAAGGCTTTTTTTGGTGAAATATTTGCAGGACCATATTGACCATGACAATGCAGTGTCTTACAGAGCTCCATAAATGAGTGGCATACTAGTTATAAATTGTGGAAATACAGTAGTTATAGCAGCAGATAGCTCTGCAGCAGCTGAAAAGCGTCCTTTATTGACTTTCAAATAGGACCTGTTGCACTTACATGGCTTCATTGTGGCAATGTTACCCTCTGGTATGTACAGGTTAAACAAACACTGATAATTGTTTGCAAATCAACTTTGAGCAAGGTCTGTATTTGACATTGAAGCAGTGTTGATTACTGCAGGTCTACTGCTAACTATATCTTGCATATAGCACAGTAAATGTGGCTGTGACTCTGAAACAGAGAAACACTTACAATTTTGCTCAATGTGACTGCAGGAATAAGTTCTCAATAATCTTTTTAATTGTACATTTTGGGACAGGAAATTGTTTTGCAAAACTGTTTTGGGAGTTGAGACTGGCTTGAAACATGGTTTGGACACTGTTTATGATTAAACTCAGCCAGATTTGGTACCATCCTGCTTGCACAAAGACCAAAACAAAAACTTCTGCTCACTTTATTTGGCAACCAGCACAATGACTAAAAAGGCCACACAGAAACACTGAGCAGATGGATAAATCAGTGTTTGCCAAGAAATAGTTCCGCCACATATCTCCTCATAAAAACCACAAATGGTCATTTTTACATTTCCGTGAATGTATGGGTACATAAAATAAGGCAGTTTCTGGTGGATGTTTTTTTCCAGTTTTGGTCAGAGCCAGGTCAGCTGTTTCCATCTGACTTCAGTATTTAAGCTAGAAACAAAGCCAATAAACACATTTCCACAAAATATTAAACTAATATCTGTTCAGCTGAATAAAAAAAAACCTTATACCTTTTCATTATACAAAGATTTTATGAGTCAGAAAGCTGGCTGACAATTATGAGCAAAGAGATGGTCTTCAGCACATGGATGGCTTCTTTTTGGCAACTTTGTGTCAACATTGTGTCAGCCTTGTTACATGGGAAATGCAGTAAAGGCAGAGAAAAGCTGCAGTGCTTCTCCAGGAAACATTTAGTCCGCCTGCTACAAATAAAAAAAAAATCAAGACAGATTAGATCTTAACTGCCTCAAATAAGCAGATTGTTCCACTAAACAATCTCAGGAAAGACATGTTTACAGATCTTTTGAGTGACATTAGTGTTGGAATGTGTTTATTTTTATATTCTACTGAATTTACTTCTCTACAATATGTATCTACCTGGGCATAAGTGTGGCCTGTATATGCATTTACACATGCCTAAGTCTGTCATTTGGGCCCAGTCTCATTTCTTATTTGTACCCCTACCCCTTGTTTTCAAGTGCCCCTTTGCTCCTTGGACAGAGTTACAAGGGGGAGTAGTCTTCCCCTATGAAATGGGGTAACCCTTCAAGACCCTGATACATCATCTGTATCATCATTGTCATTGATGGCATTTACATAAACAGATGTGACTATGGCAATAACAGAATTATCACAATAATCTGATAGAAACAGAAAAGCAAGGGCACTTGTAATAAACTCATAACTTAAGCTTCATGCTGTCAATCACTTAAACAAATCATCTGATAAAACCGAATACTGCTTCATTACCAGGCCACTAACGATGCTCTGTCGGCTAACGTCAGCAACCTGTGCTTCTACCCTGCCAGTCTGCATTGATCTTAGAGGAGCAGTACCAAATGCAGCGACTTTACTGCTGGACTTAAGTTAAATTTCAGGCATCATATGCCATCTCAGGGGGATGTGACTGGGGAATGTGGGGGAAAAGTGGGAATGTGATAAACAAATCAGCAATAACAATCTAAAGATAGTTAGCTACTTTTATAGCTACCGAGACATCAGCATACAATCAACAATATCTTTGTTTTGCTTGTTATTAGACCGTATGTAAAGATGAATGACATGACAGCCCCAAAAGTGAAGCCAAAACATCTCAGTCATCTCCTAGTGGATGGCTGCATGTTCCCCTCCATGTTAGCAGATGTGACATGGGCCAAACTAAAAACTCAAAGTATATGTCAGTTTTTGTTTTTTTTTCCCTAAAGATGGTGTCTGTCATTTTAGGTAGTTATTTTCAGGTAAGTTATTTTCAGTTATTTTTTAAGTTTGGTTTTAACTAGTAATTTGATGTAAAGAAAGGGGCTTTGATGTCATGGTTAACAGATATGTGTGCCAATCGGTGTGCTTGCTGTCAGTGGGGCTGTTCTCCATTGATCAGTCAGGTGTATGGGGTGGAACTCAATACTGGCTGAGTTCGCGGCTGGGCAAACTCTGGCACCAAATAACATCAGCAGCACAAGATGGCAGCGGCCATATCTGGGATGTTTTGGCTTAATTTTTGTACCGAGGGAGGAAGTGGAGATGCATTGTCCATCTTTATATACAGTCTTTGGTTGTTATAAAAAAAAAACAACCATCAAATGTCGGAACAGCATTAAATTAAGATAACATGGTTATCATCATATAATTATTAAGAACATTCATTTGTCAGTTTTTTTGTTGCTTATTCGGCCATCTTACTGATGATTTCTCATGAAACTTGGTTCGGAGTGTGCCTCTGAACAATGACAGTTAGGAGGGCCATGTACCTCTATCACTTTGCCCTACCACTAGACCTGAGTGGCATCACTTCATGAATACTAGTTCTGTTAAGTCTGATACAAGGAAAAACAAAACCAAACAGATCTCCCTGGCTCTGTTGGTGGAAAAAAAGAGCAGTAAAAGGGTTTGGTTGTTTGGTGGTAGACAAGCTTTTGCTCAAGTTCTCACTAATGATGGGCTGTAATGAGTTTCTTAGCAACATACTTTACAATCTTGTTTTTACTTATTTCAGGAACATGTTCATTTTGAGTAATTATATTACAGTTAGAAAAGAAATCTATCCCAGCCTTTAATTTGTTTTCCTCTCTATAAATCAACACTTTGTTATTGTAGCCACACTTGGAGTTAGCTGAGGAGAAATGCAGAAAAGTCGCTCTCTTTCTTAGATTGTTCTCACTTCATTCATTTTAGTAATGTCTTTTGGGAATGACTAAAATTGAGGTCAATGATTACGTTTTTAAAATACTCTGTCTTCAGCTAATAACTATATCTGTGCATTTCAATGAGTGCTGTAATAACTTAGGACAAATGCTACTCAAGAACTTCAAGAAGCAAAGCAAAATCCTATTTAAACAAACCCATATTTCCTCTGCTCTGTCTGACTTGGCGACTCATTACACATGTGTTATTATGAATGATTGCTTTGAGACAGACTATTCTCTTAAGCAAAGTTTGGAGTAAACTTGTGCTGATTGTTGGAAAAGTAACAGCCTCATTCAGCGCTGTAAGATGCTGACGGTAGTGGAGGGGAAAAATTCAGATAACAAATCCCAAATGTCACACAGCGTGGGTGGAGTCTGGCAAAACACCCACCAAGGATGAGAAGATGCTTATTGTTTATTGAAGCTTTTTTTAGGCCATGCTTTTTAAATTATAGCCCAGATCATTGGGGATGAATTGGATACTCCATAAGAATCCCATAACCTTTTGCAGATACAGCTGCTGCTGGCCATTAGCGACGTGATTTAAACGTAATATCTGTTAAATCAGCCCTCGTCTGAAACATCAAATCCCACAGATCTGGTATACAAGATGGTCTTCTGTGGCTCAAGATGTGTGCTGTAGGCAACTTCCAAGCTTTCTAAGCAGCGATATATGGCTGGCATGGTCAAATATCAAAGAAAAGTGAGAGTGGTGCCCTCTGCAGGGTTGTCTAGGGTTTTTCAAGGTTTGCGGCAGAGTGACTGAAGGCTCTAGTGAGTGTTAAGAATTTTTGTCAAACTAAGATTTTGGTTCTTTGATTTTGCTGACAATTGTGTTGATGAGCTGGTCATGGCTTTGCACTCAATGTAAGAACAAATAAAATGTAATACAATGAAACATTAAAGCAGTATTAACTGATTTTTGGCCACTTGGGCACAACAAAACAAGCTGTAAATGCCATATTTACATAGGTTATTGTAACCTTATAAAGTTCAGCCAACATGTAAGCAAAAAGTTGCCTATTTACATATCCACAAGACATATTATATTTATACCTAGGTGCCATATATTTGCCTGTTAGCATTCATTTCGAACAGTGTATCTGGCCACCTGATGAATGTAAGTCCAACATTCACTCTCCTTTCGACTCTATTTTGATCTGAACAAACTTATGAGGAAAATGTCTGTTGGTGGGTTGGTGTTGAGAGGGTAGCGTTCAGC